TCCTAGGTAGTGACAACCCGTGAAGAGCAAATGAATTCAAAAGAAGCCTTGTGCCAGAAGCATAAGAAGAATGCGGATGAGTATGAAGTACGACCGCAGGCCAAGAAACAGCAGGCAAAAGCAAAGGCGAAACACGCAAAGGCGAAAGCGAAAGCGAAGGCCAGGGCACACCTTACAGAGGATGATGAGGGAACGGAGAAGAAGAAGGCCCTTGCTGCTCAAGAGCCAGCAGGTGAGAGTTCTGTGCCAGCCATGGCAAAGAAGCCAGCCAAACGCAACGCCCCCAAGGACGATGATGATGTTGTTGCTGATGAGGATCCACCGAGGACGAAAGGGTGCAAGAAAGGCAAGGCCCCCCAGGATGATGTTGATGATGAGGACGCACCAAGGAAGGGGTCCAAGAAACGCCAGGGACCCAAGCAGCATGATGAGGATGCACCAAAGAAAGCGCCCAAGAGAGGCAAGGCGCCCAACGAGGACGATGAAGATGCACCAAAGAAAGGGCCCAAGAGAGGCAAGGCGCCCAACAAGGACGATGAGGATGCACCAAAGAAAGCGCCCAAGAGAGGCAAAGCGCTAAAGGAGGACGATGAGGAAGCACCAAAGAAAGGGCCCAAGAAAGGCAAGGCGCCCAAGGAGGACGATGAGGATGCACCAAAGAAAGGGCCCAAGAGCGGCAAGGCGCCCAAGGAGGACGATGAGGATGCACCAAAGAAAGGGCCCAAGAAAGGCAAGGCGCCCAGCAAGGACGATGAGGATGCACCAAAAAAGGGGCCCAAGAAAGGCAAGGCCCCCAAGGATGATGGTGATGCTGATGATGAGGATGCACAAAAGAAAGGGCCCAAACCCCCCAAGAAAGCACCCAAGAATGGCAAGGCCCCCACAGACGAAGCCGAGAGCACTGAGAAGGCAACCTTCGCTGGCCGTACCAAGCCTAAGTCAGACCCTGCGCAAACCATGTTTCGGGCCATCAAGCAAGCCTTCGCAACAATCGTCGCTCCTCGAGTGAAGAGCCCATCTGGCTTGGAGGACTCCTTTGCTTTTTTGCCTGCAAGAAAATCACCCTTCCACGGGCACACTCCGTGCCCAATTGTCTGAAGGAGGCTTTCTGGAAACACTGCCGGCCTCTACTTTTGCAGGCAGACCATAACGATCTAGAAGGCCTCTTCAAGGTGGCCAACGATTGCGCTTGTGTCTATGTGAAGTCGCCTTTACTGAAGAGTCTCTTGCTGGTAATGATGACAAAGTGTAGCCACCCGAGTAAGACCCAAACATAAAGCCTTCAATCCTACGCAGAATCCAAGCGAAGTGTCCGAGGCTGCCTCCGTTGATCTTGAAGGCCCAGGAGAAGATTGATTGGGGATCGGGGGTTCTATCGACTGAGAGCTGTGAAACACTCAGCTCTTCAGAGCTGTCGCCAGTTCGAACAGATGCTTCTCTGTAGCTACCTCGTAGACCCCGTGATAGATCACGGCTTTCTCAGGTGGGCGTGAGCAGTGATTGGAATCATAGGTTTGGGCTTTGGTTTTATGCTTTCTAGTAAGTCTACCAGCTTTGTTGTTGGGGCGACACGTCACCAAGAAAGTGTGTTTCACGGTGCAGAGGCGACTTCAGCGGTGACGAAGGTGAAAGGTTGAGCTGCGACTGATAGTGGTTTCAATCATTCCCTTGACAGCACTGACGTACCTTAAGCCCAGTGTCTGCTCAGCTGCCCTGCCAGGTACAGCGATGCCCGTGGCCGCAGCGTACTGCAGATATGGCCTTGCAACGGGAGGTCCCGCCAGCGGGTTGGGGTGGGATGGTTGGTTTAGTGTGGAGGGTGTTGGGTTGAGTGGTTCGATGTTGTGGCATCTGTTGCAGGATCCTGACACATCCCAACATAGACCCTCGCAAGCCCACCCCTGAAGCCAACGCCAAGCCTAGAGGTATCTAGAGGTGGGAAATGCTCCATGCTGCGCAAGACTGCGTGCTGTGGTTCAAATCTCTAAACTTATAACCCTGTAACCAGACCCTCGACGAATGTACATCCCTTCTGTTGTATTGAGGCCCAAGGTTTCGACGTGGCGAGGTTGTGGGGTGCTTTCTTCCAAATTTAACGGACAGGGTTCATAGTTGACTAAGCTGCTCCAGGCTCTGCGATGGAATTCCAGGGTGGTCTCTCTCTGTAGGTCAGTTAGTCTTTGCCTGGGATGACGCCCGACCGATTCGAGAGCACTGTTCGGCGCCTGATCCAGATCGGTGCACCCAAGGTGGCCTGGCAGGCGTTTAATGAGATCCCATGTGCCATTTCGCAACAACAAGACTTGCTCTAGAAGGGATTAGCTGTACACTAAAGAAATAGGAATAAACCCTAAACCCTAAACCCTAAACCCTAAACCCTAAGCCCCTAAAAACCCTAAAAACGTATACACCCATAGATTTTGGTAGGGCCCTCCCCCTCAGTCTTGCTCATTGAGGTCTATGTAATGCTACTGATTTTGTGCTGGCATTTGAAAATCGACCTTCCGTCTACTCCGGGGCCATGCCAAGTCCTCGAGCTCTTCGCCGGTCGAGCTCGCATATCTCGTTTGGGCACATCTCTGGGTCTAAGTTGTCATGCGCACGATGCAACTTATGACACTGGCAGATCGATTGGTGCATCCGCTATGAATATCAACACAGCAGCAGGATTCACGTCAGGCACCTATTTCACAATGTCTGTGTGTGTGCCTGCTCCCAAGCTTTTGGTGTCTCATGTGCCTTCGAGCTGTTGTTTAGGTTGGCGATCTTATCAATTTTGTCTTCGTGTGATGATGATTTGATCACAATCGCTGGGCTGGTCTGCTCAACTTGGGTGCAAGTAAACGCCGGGACCTCTGGCAGGGACGTCCTCAACCCGATGGGTCGGGTGCATTTGCCCAGCGTTGCTTCCGCCAACGTGATGACAAGCAGGTGCTGCGGCATGTTTCATTGTGGCAGACTTGGGGGGTAGGGGGGGGGGGGGGAGGTTGGGCTCATGTTTGACGCCAGGCTTATTCTCTTGCTGCTGACTATCCAGTTAGCCGGTGGGGTTTGGCTGCTCGAGCAGCCCATCAGCAGCATTGTGAACCTGCACGATCGGTTCATCTGGCTGCTCAGGGTTTTGTCCCGTGCTGGGCTTCAAGTGACCTGATTGGAGCCAGCTTTTATTTTTTGTTCTGTTTCTAACATAGTACTTCCTGCTAGCTTGGAGGACTTCCAGCACCAACAGCCTAAGATCTACCGCCAACCGTTTTGGATGCTCAAGTATGGTGCGGGCACCTACAAGAGATCGAAAGTATGGAGCAACAGTTGGAGAGTGGTACTGTTGGCAACGGAAGCGATCAACAAAAAGAAAGACAAATGCCTCTTTCGCACGTCCACGCAGTATATGAAGAACGGCCGGCGCTGCTTTCGAGGCAGCAAACGTTTGAAAGCGACACAGACCTTTGCCTTAAACCTGGTGGGTTTCTTTTTGTTATTGCTTTGTGTCAGATGCTCAAAGGCGGCCTGTTTGCAAAAATTGTTTCTTAGGCAGTACCCGGCTGGCTTTGCAGCAAAAGTCCTCACCATTCGTCGTACTCTGCTGAAGCACAAGCCAAAGCTACCAACAGAACTTTGGACTGCAATTAGCAGCTTATGTAAGCCAGTGACCCAATTTGTACATCCCTCGGACCAACTGCAGGTGAAGCCCCAGTTCTCTGAGAAGCCCCTCCCGGAACTCTTCCAGGAACGCGCCTCGTCGCATGATAGTTGGCCGGATGCAGATATCGTCTCTTGTGTGGCGTATGTCCGCGCCAGCGTTCACCTTAGCTTGCCACAGGCTTGGCGGGATGTCCTGCCTACAGCTTTGTAGCCACGCAACTTTGCAATTCACTTCAATTAAACTCAGCTTGTGAGCTGGTTGCACACGCAAACACCCACGCTGGCGAAGCAAAAACGAAGCCTTAAGGGTACCAGACCTTGTTGTGGAGGATTTTCGTGCGTCAGACCTTGTTGTGGAGGATTTTCGTGGCTTCTGAAGGCTTTTGAGTGGCTTTTGCTCTTTTTTGCAGGATTTTGGAGGATTTTGAGGGTTCGGAATCCGGCGGTCTTACCCGGGATTGAGGCGGTCTTACCCGGGATCTCGGCGGTCTTGCCCGGTCCCCCCCACCCACACCACCCCCCAACCCCACCCAGCCCCCAACCCTGAGCTCGCCCAAACAGCAAACAGCTCACTCAGAGTGTAGGTTTGCCCTGAACCAATCTCCCGCCACCCACCCCCCCCCCCCCCCTTTGACCGCACCCTCCCGCCCGCCCAACCAACCCGTCGAATCCCCCCACCAACACTCTCCTTCCCACCAAAAAAAGGAGTGTGCGGGCCCGTTGGCCGGGTGCCCGGGGGTGTGGTGGAGGCCTTGTTCTTCGGAACTTGGCAGGGAGCTCTGAGGCCAACGCAGCGGTGGGGCTGTATGACAGCAGGGCGATGGGCTACGCGCCTGTTGGGGCTTTCCTGTGTTAGGTGTGTGAACACACACCTAACTCCTCCACTGCTGGGATGGGAGGCCTTGCAAATCCCCCACACCCTCCCTTCCCACGACCCCCCAAACCGATCCTCTCAAACCGGGAAAATTTTGGACCCCGAAATTTACCGCAAACCCTAAACCCCAAACCCTAAACCCTAAACCCTAAACCCTAAACCTTTTTGCACACAGAACGACTCTACCATAACACACCCTGCTTGCGATACGGCCAGCTATGCGGGAGCGAAAAAAACAACCTTTTGTACCCACCAACCTCCCCCCAATCCCCGCAAAACCCCTGCACCCGAAACCTGAAAGCTTTCTTGAACCCAAATAACGCAGCTGCCCGAAACCCTAAACCTTCTGAGAAAGGACGCAGGTTCCGTGCGTTGAATATCGTCCAGGTTCTTCAAGATTTGGGTTACAATGCAACAGTTAGAGAGCCGGACCTTGAGTTCGGAGACCCTCTTGAGGGGGGTGGGCCTTCTTCGAACAGCCACCATGAGCCTGGAGAATGATGCCGAGTACCTGGCTTTAGCCCAACGGAGAGAAGAGCTTCTTGTATTCCAACCAAATGATGAGTGTAGCTGAAGCGTTGCTGTGTGCATTCTGAAACCTGCCCCAACAAAAATATGTGGACCGTAAGCGTTCCTAGCCAAGGCACAGATGGAAGCAAGGAAAGACCAGGAGCGGGAGGAAAAAGCAGTGGCGGCAGTAGCTGCCATTGCGCCTGAGTGGAGCCGACCAATGACAGGATCTGAGCTATTCCGTCTGCAGAACGCAGAGACACAGTGTGTAGACTCACCTTCACCCAGCCAGGACCAAGCACCGCAGGGGTTTCAAGGGGGCGTGCAGGATGTAGAGGCGTCGGGGGGGGATGCCAGCAAGCCAGAAAGTGAGCCAAGCCATCACCCAGCAAGCAACTCACCGGAGGGCTTCGAAGGGTTGCAGGTGGATGCCGGCAAGCCAGAAAGTGAACCAAAGGGGGTTCAAGATGCACCAGAGCAAGCCCCACCACCATCACAGCGTGTCGAGGATCTTGCAACGAAACCGAAGCAGGGTTCAGCGCCAGAGGGGAAGGAGCGGGGGTCAATGTGTGGCAAGACAGGAAAGCCTGCCCCAAAGAGTGGCACGGGAACACCGGGCAGTGCGCTCCAGGAGAAGTACAGGGATGCGTATGTGGACCCAAGGGAAAAAGCCCCCCCACCACACCAGCACGAAAGCAAGTTCCTCAAACGACTTCGCCGAGTTTGCACGCCAAAGGAGAGCGGAGAGCTCAAAGTACCACAGGAAGTGATCAAAGACTTTCAGAATCTTGAGTCAAGAGCTCGTGTGCTGCAGCTGTTTGAGAAAGTGGGCTATGAGCCTGTGCGCTGGGCGTGTTTGCAAGCATGCTCGATTGGCTAGAATCTATTACCTGCTTGTTGCCAGGCAGCTTTCATCCGCAAAACGAAAAGGATGTATGAGGAGATTCGGGAAACTACGGTCCAGACAGAGTATGAGTTTTTGACAGAAGAAGAGATGGAGGAGTTGGGTTGGTCAGAGTGCCTCGACTATTTGACTGGGTACTGGGGATAGGTTCCAAGCCTCTGCTTCTTGCAAAGAACAAACTTCTCACACATGTAGTTCCGTTCCGTTGTTAGGAAGAAGAGAAAGAATGCCAAGAAATTCTGCGAGCAGCGCAAGGGCTACACGAGGACACAATCCTGATAATTACTGTCTTGTGTGTTCTGTTTGTCTTGCTACGGTATTAATTAGCAGGAAGTCCGACTATGGCGGCGACATGATGTACTGGGTAGCTGTGAAGATCAAGGGGGTGGACAAGCCGCCCGATTGAAACCAGTGTGATTCCAAACCCCCGAAACTCTAAATCTCAAGCCGCCCTCAAAGTGTGACCCGCTCAGGAAGACGAAGCGCAGTGTGGTGCAAGAGCTGCTGGAGGGCGACGTGGACTCCGACGACCCAATGCCTGAGCATACAGATGGGCCCCCGGTGCTCGAGCAGCTAGAGGAATCAGGCTAGGTGTTTTGCTGGGTTTCAGCTTCAGAAGGACTGAAAGGAATCCTCCGGTGTATTTTGAATTGGGATTGTTCCTTCTTATTGGGTTGGTAGGGTTTCTAGGGTTTAGAGGGTTTATATTTTTTGAGGGTTTAGAGGGCTTGGAGGGTTTGTAGCATTTAGAGAGTTTAGAGGGTTGTTGCACACCCACGAAACACACCCCGAAACATACCCCCGAAACATACCCGCGAAGCTTGCCCCCGAAGTTGCAGGTAAAGTGCCGCGCAACAAACCCCGAAACTAACCCCCGAAACATACCCACGAAAGGTCCCCTGATCTCAACACCAGTCGCCCGCCCCCCGCCCCAGCATCGAAGAAACCCAATTGATATGATTGTTTTCGCTTCCCCCTGAAGCCTAAAGCCTGAAGCCTAACCCTAATGGTAGAGAACTTTGGGGGGTTGAAGGTTTCTGAGATTCAGACAGTTTGAATCTAGACGCCAACAAAAACACCTAGCCCAAATAGATATATCTCACCTAGGCAAGACAGCAAACCTCACGACCCTAGAGCCCCTCCCTTCCCATGATTTCGCGCAGGCGGTGGAGCTGATGCTGCTGGCCAGGAGAACGAAGACGAGGAGGATGAATCCTCGGATGATGGTGCAGAGGCCACAGCACTGCTGAAGAAGGTGCAGTTCCCAGACCTAGAGAAAGAGAAGAAGCCTTCAGAGGCCTGTGGCAAGGTATGCCTCTGTGTGTCGAAGCGGATGAGCAAGGTACAGGCTCTCATAGACAAATTCGAAACGCTGGTTCCCCAAGCCAAAGACACAAAGGCAGGTACCAGTACCAATGTGAAGACTTGCCCTTAGTTGTTTATCCTGATGCGTTGGAGCTGTGTGTGAGAGACCGACGCACTTTCTGACAGTTGACAAGATCCTTTAGCCTGAGGATGCTGGAAAACCTCAAGAAGACATTGGCCGATCTATCAAAGGTTGATGATGACATTTCGGCTATTCGCAGCAAAGGTCTTGTGGACGGGTTTACGAAAGAGTTCCTAAGCATGCACGTAGTGCCTGAGTTTTCACCCAGGGGGGGTGCTTATGACACGACAACGAAGCCGAGGAACCAAAAGGTTCTCCGTGGCCTCTTCGAGAATGCCAAGCGCACGTGCCATCCTTAAGTGTCACGGTGAAGTTTCACTGGCAGGTAAGGTCTTGCTACCCTACTATCCTCACCCTGACAGGGCGATCCAAGTGGAGGTCTATGATCAACGTTGCAAGCCACTTGCTGTCAATGATGATGCTTTAGGCCACACAAGCTGTGCCCTACCCCTTAAGGGTTTAGGGTTAGGGTTTAAGGGTTTTTAAAGGTTTTTTTCACTCCTGCAAAGCTGGGGCGAATCCACATCGCAGGGCAAGGGTTTAAGGGCTAAGGGTTTAGAGTTTGGGGTTTAGGGTTCTTAGCCTGGAAGCTAGCTTCAACCCACCCTCACCCAAAGTGTACTGAGGCCCCTTCTACAGGGACTGAGGCCTGAGCCCAAGGTGGCCTCCAAGGCCCCCAAAGTGGCCGTGGCCCCCAAGACAACCCCAAAGCCGAAGGCGAAAGTGAAGGCAAAAGGAAAGGAGGATTCAGAGGCTGAAGAGCCACCAGCGAAAAGAAAGCGTGCGTAAGCAACTTTTGCTGACAGCCCATTTTGGGGAAGGGCATGCAATCCTAAAAAAGTCATTATGATGCAAGCTGCCCTTTCCAGGGTGTGTCTCCGAGTGCCCTAGGCATGGTTTGTGGTTTCAAACAAGGGAGATCGCGCGTGGATCCCTCGGCCAAAAGTGCTCATGCTCCAGCTGCCACGCACACTCCACGAAGAACCTTTGGAGCCGTCTTCGTTTGGGTGGAGGATTTTGGTGGCTTGAGATTTCGGGCATTCGCGCACAGCGGCCCACAACCCCAAATGGAGTCTTGAACCCTAATTCCTCTAAATCTTGTACTCTAAAACCCTATACATGTATTATATATTTCGAACTTCGAAACCCTAAACCCCAAACCTGAATCTTACTCAACACATCTCTCAAATGGAGTGTTGCGCCCGAATTCCCAAAGCAGGACGAGCCCAATAAGTCTTGCACTCTAAAACCCTATAAACACTTCGAGCTTCGAAACCCTAACCCCAAGCCTGAATCCAGCATATCTTAACCTATGCCAGGTGAAGACACCGAGGATGTGGAGCTCGGGCGAGTGGAGATGTACGCTGAAATGCTCGGCGACGGTGCAGATTCCTGAGATGTTGGGTTGGTTCGGCAAGAGCATTCAGGGTTGATTCGTTGTGATTCGGCAGGTATTGCTTGGAGAGCTGGGTGGGGGTTGAGGATGGAGGGTGTTTAAAGTTTATGTTTGACAGCTCCAGGCTGTAGTTTCGTCGGGTAGAAGGAGTGTCACCTCTGGGTGTATTGAGGGTTGTTTTTGGGTTTTTTTTTGTTAAAAAGCTTTCGGTGCCCAACAAGGCCTCTCGAAGTCCTAGTTGCTCAACGCCCCTCATACCCTACCGGACCCCTGGGAGGACCCAAGAAGTAGAACCCCCAATGCACTACTAGTGGGTCTTTTTTCAGGAACAGTGAAGGGGATCAGGGGTCAGAATCCTTTTGATTGCAAGAGCTAGGCAATAATGGCACCAAAGTGACCCCTGATATTGCTTGACTCCATAAGTTCTCACAAGCGAACGTAGGCAAGGGTTTAGGGTTTAGGGTTTAGGGTTTAGGGTTTAGCGTTTAGGGTTTAGGGTTTGGGTTTAGGGTTTAGGGTTTAGGGTTTAGGGTTTAGGGTTTAGGGTTTAGGGTTTAGGGTGTAGGGTTTAGGGTTTAGGGTTTAGGGTTTAGGGTTTAGGGTTTAGGGTTTAGATTTAGGGTTTAGGGTTTAGGGTTTAGGGTTTAGGGTTTAGGGTTTAGGGTTTAGGGTTTAGGGTTTAGGGTTTAGGGTTTAGGGTTTAGGGTTTAGGGTTTAGGGTTTACAGAGCCCGACCCCAATTCCAAAATCTGTTCGCAAGATTCAGGCGTTCATTGCAACACTTCTGGTTCCCTGCAGCCCAAACCCCAACTATTCAACTATTCAATTGCTTTTTTTGCTTTACGTTTGCCCAGGCAAGCGCCAGAGACACCAAGAGGTGTCTTTGCCAGATGAGGAATCCGGGACAGCCAGAGAACAAACGTCGAAATATCACAAATGAGGAGCGTGACTGCCACGCTTACTTTACCCGCAAGGGCCTTTCGTTGAGAGTCCCCATTACTTCTCGACAGTACATTGTTCAGGGTTCGGCCAGCGTCCAGACTTGGCACGTCAAAATCGAGCACTGGTTGACATATCTGCTTGGGTCGGCTTCTTGTCTAGTGGCTGGCGGGCAGAGCCCCCTTCATGCGCAGCTGGATGCTTTCTGGAAGATGTACAAGCCCCTTGCCCATTTTTGTGCGGTTGTCGTACCTTGTTTTTTCCACTTTGTTTTTGCCAGCAAACAAGGTCGTACCTTATTTTTTCCATCTTGTTTTGCCAGCAAACAAGGTATCATCACAGCGATCACGCGATATTCGCGCAGGATGGCATCAAGCTGTCAAACACTCTGCCCCTCATCCTGTTTTCAGACGAAGGGAAGGGCCCGAAACGCGGGAACTATTTGCTCTTCACAATCGAGTCTCCAATTGGTTTGTCAGAGGTGGAGGCGGGGCAACCCTGCTCATGCTCTTCGCATGTGGCGCGGACTCCAGCAGAGTTTGTGCCACAGTGCTACGGGGCACCAGCTGCTTCCGACGCAACCGAAGAGGCTGCAAAGCAGACGACAAATATTAAAGGACATTCTGCTTTGACCAGACATGTTTTGTTTGGCCTTCCTGACTGGGTCTACAAGCACCATGGTTTTATCCTCGACGACATGATGGGCGTCGTGGCGCAAGAGTTGGAATATTTGTTCAAGAACGGCTTTGTTGTCAAGGGCAAAAGGTATTGGGTGGCCCTTGTGGGAATCAAGGGAGACATGAAACAAATTGCAGAAAAAATCTGCAATTTGACAAGGTCGTATGCCCATCTGGGCAAAGTTCACCATTATGGTATCTGCAGCCATTGCATGGCGGGTACAACAGCTGATGTTCCATGGGATGAAATAAGCCACGACCCCTCGTGGGCAAGAACATTGTTTGCAGCACGCCCGTGGCGCGAGGATCCTGTGTTGTGCAGCCTTCCTCCTTTCGATGAGGCCGCGCCAGAAGCTGTGCTAAAGCATGATGTGTTCCATCTATTCAAGGTAGGCCTTGGCCGCGATCTGTGCGGAGCAACTGTGTTGCTTGCGAGGCTCGGGCATTACGACTTCAATGTTGGCGAGTCAAAAGAGCTCAATGCGCGATTGCAACGTGCATATCAACATTTCAGGCTTTGGGCCCTTGCCGAACACACGGCGCCTGCTTGCAGGTATTTTTCTGACAGTCTCTTCAACCTCAAAAAACTCGCAGACTATGCGTGGGCCAGCACCAAAGGCTCGGACACCGTCCTCTTCTTGAAATACGTCCATTTTTATGCCAGCCTCATCTTGCAGAACCCGGACATTTCAGAAGACCACCGACGCCTTTTGCGGCTTCTTTGCAAGACAATCAAGTCGTCCCAGGCTGCCCTCCACATCATATACTCGCATGGACTCTGGCTGGATCGTGTCTGTGCGCAGAGTTTGTACCTCCACCTCATGAAGTTGCTTGCCGGATACCAAGCCCTTGCGGCCCGAAGCCTCGCTATGCGCATGTCATTTTTCTGCCTCAAGCCCAAATTCCACGGGCTACACCATCTAGCATACGACCTCAAGGAGGCATTGCATGGACCAGGGCCCTTGATCTTAAATCCCGCCACATGGGCTTGCGATCAAAACGAAGACACGATCGGGAAAGTCTGTTCCCTCACGTTGAAAGTATCGGTACGAACTATCAACCGCAGAGTGCTTCAGCGACATTTCCTGAAGAAATGTGCTGTGATTCGCCGTCACAAGAACGAGCGCCGGGCCTGTGGCCTTCCTTGCACATCTTGAGCCGTGGTTTTCTTTCAGCAACCCCCAGGCTATAGTTATTGATACCGCTCTCATGCTTTTGTAGACTATGTTCTTGCGTAGGCTATGCTAAGGCTTTCTAACTGAACCCTGAAGTCTCGAGCCCCATAGCTTTACAGTTGCCAGAAAAGGATGATGGACCACTCAGAAGAACACCAAACCTGCAACATGATGGAAAGCCCTAGAGCCCAGAAGCTTTGCTCCAGGGTGCTGCGCTAGACCAGGCAGAGCAGCAGGCGGCCATGGAAAAGGGACAGCCGCTCCAATCCCTGAACCTTCCTGAAGCCCTAAGTGCTGAGGCATCCCTTTATGAACCCTGAGCCCGTAGGGTTTAGGGTTTGGGGTTTAGGGTTTAGGGTTTAGGGTTTTAGGGTTTAGGGCTGAGGGAGCTTTAGGGTTTAGGGAAGCTTAGGGCTTAGGGAAGTTTAGAGCTCTTCGAAGTTTAGGGTTTGGATTGTCCTTGTCCAGAACTTGCAGAGCCAGTGCTACAGATTTGAACCCGGTGTAATCCTGAACCGACTACTACCCTGATTGAAAGATGTAGGCAATGAAAGTCCAACAAAGGTGTTTGGTTCAAGGTTAAAGGACCCCTGAATGTTAAGGCATGGCCCGAACTCCGCAAGCTATTGCAAACTAAGTGGCCCCCTAGGCGGTTCACAACATTCGGAACCATAGCATCTTATTTCTGTGGATAAATCTACTAAACAGCTGTTCCAGAAAACCTGTTGCGGCTACTTTGGTTTTTGGTCGGCTACTTTCCCCATTGTCGGCGTCTTTGTTAGCGTGAGGCTGGAATTTCTGCCGGTTTGCATTCCGGCTGATATTTCGGCCGCCCGGGTTTCTAGGTATGTATATGTGTATATGTATATGTATGTATGTATATATGTATATATATATATGGGGTGCTGAAGCGAAGCTGACGCCTAGTAAGCTGACGAGCAGAATGGTTTTCATGTTGTTAAGATCCCTCATGCTACTCCTAGTGAGCAAGGCTAAGGAATTGTTTAACACATAGAAAAGCCCGGCCTGGGTCCACAATTGTATATACCTCGATGCCTGTTCTGTTGGTCATGCCACTAGGTTGCTCCCTTACAAGAGAGCAGCCCGACCTCCCTGCTCCCCCCTCCCCTCCCCGTCCCCCCCCCCTCTTCCCTCCCCCCCAAAAAAACCACAAGAACAAAAATCACATGCCCAAACCCCAAACCGTGAGTTGAAAATCCTTAACCACCATGACAAACAGCCCCGAGCCCACCCCCATGAGGAATGTGGAGAACATACGCCCTGCTCCCAGACCTGCGCCCTGGCTCAAGAGGGTGAAGAGTAAAGGGGTATAGGCGTCAAGGATTTAGGAATGGGGGGCGGGGGGGGGGGGGGGGGTTCAAGGGTTCAAGGGTTTCAAGGGTTCCAGGGTTCAAGAATTCAAGGGTTTCGGGCTTCCAGGGCTTTCGGAGGCGGATGTGATTGTTGTGCTGAGAGTAGAGCTGAAGATGTCTTGTTGGTTGAGCTCATGGAGTATATATATATATATATATATATATATATATATACTTATATATATATATACATAGAGTAGTTAGAGTAGATTAGTAGATGTACATGTGTTCCAAGAGGCTCCGAGTTAAATGCGCCTAGAGTTCCCTGGAGGACGATAATTTCCCCTGGACGCTAGGGTCCCTAAACTGCCCTAAGCCCAAAAGACCATCAACAGTGCCCTAAAAACGCAAATACATCGAAGTCGAAACCGTGACCTTAAATCCTTAAACCCCCCATGAACCCTAAACCCTAAAGCCTATAAACACCAAGCTTTCAACAACCCCAGCCCCACACCCCAAGCCCCGATGCACGCTGACATCCCTAAATGCACGTGAGCAATAGGACCTTTTATGTGGCATTTGGTGTGGAGGCTATGTTTAAGGGCGAATTTTGAGAAGCTTGCAGACTTTGAGGGATTTCCACACTAAAAAGAAGTAAGGCTCAGGCGTAAATGTGTTCAAGCAGTCTCGACTTTTCTGCAAGAATCGAGCTGTTGAAAAAAGATGCCCTTCAAGCCTGAGCCTTGCTTGAAAGAAGCTCGGTTCCTTAGCGTTTCTGTACCTTCAGCAAAATAGGTCTTCAACATATCTAGGAACTAGGAAAAGAGTGAAGGGTTAAAAAAAAAAACGAAGGGTGCTGCACAGGTTCAAACTTCTGAGCTATGTTAGCAAGAGGCTCCGAGGATGCATGACGAGGTGCCCTGGGCTTCTTCAGCCCGAACATGCCTCAGGAAGCCTAAGCCCTAAACCCTAAACCCTAAACCCTAAACCCTAAACCCTAAACCCTAAACCCTAAACCCAGAGCCCTTGCTGCAGCGGCCTTCCTCTGCGACCGTCGCACCACCACCCGGACGGACCTGAAGCCAGGCACCTGCCAATGCATAACCAGATTTGTCGCCAAACGCCATTCGGTTTAGGGTTCAGGGGTTAGTGTTTAGGGTTTAGGGTTTAGGGTTCATTGAAGTACCAGCGTGTCCAGAGTACTTGGCTGTGGACAATGCCGGGCCTATGGCTTTCTGCCCGAGATGCGATGAATTCGAAGCGGCGCCCGGAACTCTACGCCTTGACCAGCGACATCTCGGCCGTCGACCCTTCAATCCCTCAACCCTAAACCCGGCAACCTCACTACATGCACGCGCGGCAGCCCTGAAGCAGAACCTGGCAACCTCTTTGCACTGAACCTTGTGGCCGAAACATGAAGCTCCAAGCCTCCCCAACGAAACCCGAAGCCCTAAACCCTAACCCCTAAACCCTAAACTCTCCATCGCGACCCAGGAGTGAGCTGAGCCAGCCCTATACCCCGCTGGCGGTGGTGTGGGATGACTGCCAGGAGCAGCTCGAGTGCGAGATCCTGGAGGCTGATATGGGGGGAAGGGGGTGGGGGGTTTGGTTTAGGGTTTAGAGTTTAGGCTTCAGTGTTTCGGGTTTAGCGTCGGGCCCCCTCTGTACTGGTATATAGGGCTCCTATCATCACACCGCCTTATACCTAAGGAGCCATAATGGTCAGCGATATACGGATGGCTCAGCTCCCCACTACGCACTGAATGTAGACAAACTTTCACTCAGCCACTATAAGAACCTCCTCTCAGGCGAACGGGAGTGTCCTATAGGGCCAAAACGCCAAGCTCCTTAGCTCAATGTACGGTTCAGGGTTTACGGTTGGAGTGCAGCGCGAGGTCATCCATCAGCTCGTGGGGGATGTACTGCGCTACGAGCACCTGGCTTGGGCATACCCTTGGCTGAATGTCTCTGGGCGACAGAGAGAACCCTAAACCCGAAACCCGAAAAACCCTAAACCCTATAAACCCCAACCCTCTCAATCTTAAACCCTAAACACAGTTTGCACCCTGAGAGCCCATAACGAGCTACGTACTCTTCACGAGAGGTGCCCAGCAGTACCCTGATTCCCTATGTCTTGGTGTCAGGATCTGTTAAACATCACAGGCCTCGAGAATTCGACCCAGGGTTTAGGGTGTAGGGTTTAGGGATTCCTTTTTTCTCCTAGGCTAAGGGAAGCCCAGATGGACTCCAGTGATTGGGAAGTTGGAAACCCGACCTGCATTTCTTCCCCTCTAACACCTCCCCCTTCCTCGCCCCCCCCCCCCCCCCCCCCCCCCCCCCCTCCCCCTCCCCCAAAAAAGAAGTCTGTTTCCTGCCAACCTCAAAACGAAAACCCCAAAGCCCCTTAAATCCTCTGAGAAGCCCTCACAAACCCTCGTCGGTGACCCATCATGGTGTAAGCAGGTCTGCTTCGGGTCCTTCTCCATTCTCGGCTCATGGGGCCCCGGCTACAAGCGGCACAAGGCAGGGTGCGGGCTTAGGGTGCCGTGGATTTGGGGGTGTCAGGTGTGGGCTCTCTTGCCTCCAGCCCCAAGCCTCCCAAGCCGTTCCTCTTGAGACCTTTTTTTAGCTTCAACCCCACACAACAGGGGTATCGTTTGGGGTATCGGATCCTAGGATGCGTTTGGATGTTGATTGATTGTTCAGGGGAATGGGGGGCGGAAAGGGATCTTTGATGATTGTTTGAGCTTCGGCTTGGACGTCTCGTGGTAGGTCTGGGGCCATACATACCCAAAACTACCCTAGCCCAAGAGACCCGCAAGCCCTGAACCCTCGAGACCCGAAGCCCTAACCCCGAAAGGCCTCCAGGCAGCCTACGAGGGCTCAAGGCATCTCAGGATCGCATCAGGGGCTGTTCGCCCTGGGCCATTTAGGAAGACCCACCCCTGCCACCCTGCTCATTCTGAATTAGGGCTTGTAGGGTTCTGGTTCAATTATTGTTTCGGGCTCGCTGCAATGCGTGTGGGTCGAAGGAAGAAGCCGTAAACTTAAACCCGTAACCCTAAACCCTAAGGCCTACACCCTACACCCTAAACCCCCTAAGCCCTAAACCCTAAGCCTTCAGGCGTGCCTGTTCACGAACTATGCAATCCTGGACGGACCCCTGCAGGCCGAAGACAGCTCAACGAAACTTGATCTTGGGCGCCGTGGAAGTGTTTGTTTGTGCGTTAAGCCCGAAATCCTAAACCCTAAACCCTACACCCCAAACCCCAAACCCTAAACCCCTGGTTTCGGGTTTAGGGTAAGCTGAAGCTGTTCTGTTTTTTGTGGTGGTGGATATGGGTCTATTGTCTATAGGTGCTAGGGTACCCAGGGTTTAATTCGGGTTTAGGGTACTTCGGTACCCAGTGCGGGTACTCTTCTTCTTCTTCTTCTTCTTCTTCTTCTTCTTCTTCTTCTTATTGTATATATTTTTTGGTGGTGGGCGGAAGTTCGGAACCCTGTTTTCCAGCAGCGCCAGTGCTACTTAGGGCTTCGAGGGTATATGTAGGGTTGAGCTGAAGGATTGGTGGCTGGCCCGTGGCTGACGATGATCTGGAGTGTTTCGAGCAGAGCCAGTGGGCCTTCATCACAGAGATAGGGCCGCCCAGCCGGACTGTCGGATGTGGGGTTGTGGGGTTTAGGGGTTTAATTAGGGGTTTTGGGGGTTTAGGGGTTTAGGGGTTTAGGGGTTTAGGGGTTTAGGGGTTTAGGGTTTAGGCGGTTAATGGTTAATTTAGGGTGGCTGTCGGATGTGGGGGTTAAGGGTAGAGGGTCGGGATGTTCCCCCTGATACTCACGGTCCTGGGGGGTTTGTTTCCCCCCTATGATAATTCCTGTTGAGGACTTGGTATATGGGGGAACATCCCAAGTTGAGGTATTCAGGTTTAGGTTTGAGGATTTAAGGTGCAGGGCGATTAGAGGGTTTAGGGTTGTTGTCCTTGAGATTCATAGGGTTCTAGACGGATGTTTGGTGTTCTGAAGGTATGAGTCCTGCCAAACTGCTCCCCGGCACCTCACACGAAGAGCTATTCCATTCATAGGCTTGTTTGTATGGGGTCTGCTGGTGGCTTCAGGGACCTTGGCCCAGAGACTCCGTTTGCAGTTTTTATTACTGGTTACGAGTGCTCGTCTTTCATAATTGCAGTTCAGTGGACCTTTGACACCCTAAAGTCTATCCTAAAAACCTAAACCTCAAGCCTTTAACCCTAAACCCTAAACCCCAAACCCCAAACCCTCAATGTACGAAAGGTTCTGGCACCGACTGAGAGCGGCCAGCGGCTGTGAGGCATCCGAGGAGCAAAAAGTGGGATGTCTGCCGGCGTCTTTTTCGGTCTTGCGTGTTTGCGGGTTTAGGGTTGAGGGTTCAGGGTTTAGGGTTGAGGGTTGAGGGTTTAGGGTTTAGAGCTTAGCGTGTAGCGCGTAGGGTTTAGGTGCTTGTGCAAACCAAGCGTGCATGCACATATCTTTGTCTGTGGTTCTTGGGGAGAGAAGTAGGGGTTCAGGGTTTAGGGTTTAGGGTTTAGGGTTTAGGGTTTAGGGTTGAGGGACTCTACCAGAGCAGCTTACTAGGTAGGCCCTTGC